TAGGCTGTGTCTACACTGGCAATTGAACGACAAAGCTTTTGTCTTTCAGAGGTGTTAACCACCCCCGAAAGACTAAAGTTGTGCTGCGACAAGTGCCAGTGTGAACAGCATGTTGTTGGCAGGAGTGCTCTCCTACCAACAACGCAAACGCCGCTCATTGGGGGTGAACGTTTTTTGTCGGTAGGAGAGCCGACAAACAGCGGCTACACTGCACGACTTTTAGCAGCACGGCTGTAGCAACACAGCCATGTTGCTAAAAGCTGTGTAGTGTAGACATAGCCATAGATTAACTCCAGCAAACCTCTCTCACTGAGGCAGAGGGGTAACAAGGTGACCTACAGTTCTGGGTGTCCCAAGAAAGCATCAGATGCAACTACACTGCTATTGTTACTCAAGTTAGCTTTGATCTAACTCAGGGGTATTCAGCCTTTTTTCATTTGATTCCCTAAAAAATTTCAAATGGAGGTGCGGACCCCCTTGGAAATCTTAGACATAGTCTGTGGATCTTCAGGGGTCCGTGGACCACAGGTTGAAAACCACTGATCTAGCTACATCAAAACTAGCTCGGGTATATCTACACGTGCTGCAATCACACCTCCCGAATGCTGTGTAGACATACCTCTAAACTATTCCTCCAAACTCTTTAAAATCATAAGGCTGGATTCTCCACTGGCTTGTTCCCTGGGTTGGCATTTACCTCTGTGCAAAGGGAGTGTAAAGTGGGAGTAAAGGCTGCTAGATCAGATTGGTGGCATCTTACACCACCTTTGCACTCACTTTGCACAGGTGTAAATGGCTGAACAAAGGGCACCAAAACAGGAGGGAATCAAATCCCTTATTTTCAACCTCCTTCCCAACCTGTCAATCCCTGTTCATGCACAAGTATGCTAAGTAGTCCAGCAGAGAGGTAAAACAGCTACGTTTCACACCTTACAAATCTGCCAGGAGGAGCTAAATGCCACTTCAAATACAGATGGCTACAAGTTACTAGTGCGAGACAATAAGGACCTGATTTACCACTATGTAACTCTCCTTCTTTGCAGGTGTAACTCTCCTTCTTTGCAGGTGTAACTCTGTTAATTTCAAAGGAGATACACTGGCATAAACTGGAGTAAATTGCATGGTGACTCAAGCCCTAAATAGTGAGTTAATGTACAAATTTAATGTAAGGGCCACACAGTCCCTAAATACAAGCATGTAACCATCACTGCTATTAAATAGGACATGTGCTCACAGATTGTTATTGTGAACGGTCCTATTCACAATGTGCTAGGTGAATGTCCCAGAGGGGTTGTTCCCTGCCCCAAGGAGATCACAATCTGAAGACAGAAGTTAGGGGGAACAGTACAACAAACAAGGACATTAGTACAAGACAGCTACACTCACTGCAGGCAGCACGGCTGAAGTGGGCCTTCAAGAGGGATCTAAACTTAAACATGGCAGGGGGCTTGCAGAGGTTGCCAGGGCAGCTGTGACATGCAGAGGGCTCTGTGAGGTCGAAGGCACAGAGGTGATTGTGTGAGAAGCTGACAAATGGGTGGATGAGGCTGGGAGGGCTGGCAGAGCTGAGGGGATGGGATGGCCGTGAAGCTGGACAAGGGAGGGTAACTAGGGACGGGCAGAGTTATGCAGAGCTTTGAAGGTGGTGACAAGAAGCTTATCTCCAATGTGACAGCAGATAGGGGCCAGTGAAGAGCTGCAAAGAGAGAAAGGACACAATCAAGTGGATGGGTGAACAAGATGACTTTGTCAGCAGAACTGTACATGGACTGAAATAGGGGGATGATGGGAGCGTGTTTTGAAGGCCAGAGGGTAGGTCATTGCAGTAGTCAAGGTGGGGACCTCATTGAAAGATTTGGCTGTGGAGGATGGAAATAAAAGAAGACGTGTTGGAGAAGTTGAGGAGAAAGAAGCAGCAGGATTTCGATGTGGTCTGGATGTGTGGAAAGGGAGTGGTCAAAAACATGCTCAAGTTGCATGGCGGAGTGACGGGAGACCTGTGTCCAAGGTGTGCCCCTTTACCTGCAGTCTCTGGTCACAGGCAATGCTCATTTACACAGAGTTGTTGGTTTGCACATTTCCATCCACGCAGCATTCCCCAGCTGTGCCAAGCCAACATAAACGGGTCCGTTTAAAATTTAATATTTTTGTATCAATCAGTGTAGAGGATGATCTGGCAGACTCAGATTCTCTGGCTCATCATGCTCTTGAATCAGGGTAAGAAAGCAACAAGGGAGAGATTAATTTACATTAGTTTTCAAATTTGCTACCTGATGAATCTGCCTTCTAGGTACCAGGCTGAAGGGCACAGTATATATATTAAATGGATGGATGCATGTAATCATCAAATCCACAATAGCTCTTAGGCCTGGCCTACACTAAAAAGGTAGGCTGAACCAGCTACATTGCGCAAGGATGTGAAAATTCCACACCCCTGAACGGTGTAGTTAAGACAACCTAACCCACAGTGTAGACAACACTGGGTCAATGGAGGAATTCTTCCATCGACCTAGCTACCACCTTTCAGGGAGGTGGATCTACCTGATAACCCCTCCCGGCGGCGTAGGTAGTGTCTACACAGCATCTTTGATCTGCATCTGTAGTAGAGACTGTCCGGTTTGGCCAATGTACGTGGCAGAGGGGCATTGTTGGCAAAGGATGGCATATATCACATAGACGTGCAGGTGAATGAGCCTCTGATGGTGTGGCTGATGTGGTTAGGTCCTATGATGGTGTCCCTTGAATAGATATGTGGACAGAGTTGGCACTGGGGTTTGTTGCAGGGTTTGGTTCCTGGGTTGGTGTTTTTGTTGTGTGGTGGGTAGTTGCTGGTATTTGCTTCAGGTTGGGGGGCTGTCTGTAAGCAAGGACTGGCCTGTCTCCATGTACAGGCTCACCGTGCTAGTGTTATCTTGGAATCTTGCAATTTTTAGGGCAAACACATTTTCCAAAGCAAAAGCACATAGAGGGAGTAATATTGGGCTTTAGAGTAGAAATTAGTTGCAACCTTCACTATGGAGATGTTGCTGTCTCCATAATAAATACCACTATAAGTTGACTCCTCTATGACAGCACGACAGATGCAGATCAAAGATGCTGTATAAAGAAACACTTATATTAGGACATAAGTAAAAATACACTAGAAGGCTGTGGACTGCATCATATTGGTTACAGATAAGAAACTCATCTTAGCCCTGGCTCTCCTGCTTTCACAGATGGATTCAATTCACCACTCATATAAGAACATTACAGCAACGGTCCCAGTTCTACAGTTTATACTAGCGTCATTGCACTGTTTTGGATCAGTACTGTAATGATATTTTATAAAGGGCAAGTTTCTCTTTCACTTGGTTTACACCAAGTCTGTTACTGTTAATACTTTTTTTTAATTTTTAAAAAGGAAATTATGTTGCTAGATCAATTAAAATACATTGAGAAATCAAAAGTATATTCACTTCCATTATCTATTCCTTTAACAGGTAAATTAACCTGTGAGGGCATAAAAAAGCTATTCTTTTAACACACATCCTCCACTACAGAATGTCATTATTGAAAAGTATTTTTGGTGTGGTTCTGAGTATTTGATTTGTTTGTTCACAAAATACAGTATTTCCTTGCTGTGAGCTCTACCCCACTATACCTAGCACAGGAAACAGACATTTACAGAACAGCGGCATTGCACATCTAACCTCTTTAAACAAAAAGCTGAAATTTCACACAACTGACACTAGATGGCCACATTCAACTATCTTTTCAGTGGGAGGTGCTGGGAGCACCACGCTTAAAAGTCTAACTTTCAATCTTCAGGAATGAAAATAATGGTCTATTCATGCAATGTTACATAGAACATGGGAAGCGCTGCTACAGGGCTCAAAAACTCTTTAATGGAATACTAGCCTTTTCCTGTACCCTTTGGGATTTTAATGGCAGAATAGTCAGGAGATTCAGGGATAAAGTTCCCACAAGCCTGTGCATCACTATAAGGTCTGTGAGGTGATGACTAACAAACCCAGTAAGGAAGGGAAGGGTTAAGCCCCCTGCTCAGATCCCCTGATGCATGGGGATCACACCATCAATATCATCTATCTGAGATGATTCCTAGTATAACAATGATTCCATGGCTCCATAAATTTAAATGAGCAGCCTGGCAACACTGAGAGCTGAGAACATTGATTCCCATTCCACACTGACAGATGCCATTTCAACACAAAACGAGGGACAGGGACTGTAACCTAACGTGGGGTTGCTCAGCACCCAACAAAACAGGGTCCTGATCCATATAGGAACCTCTGGGCACCCCGGCACTATCATCAGAACTGCCATTGGAACACAAATGGAGGATGCTGCCCCAGTACTCCTCAGGTTGAGCTTGTGTATTTCATCTACCACCCCTTTTACTTCCCTTTTTCTGCATGTTTTTAGGTCAGCTGGGAATTTTCATCTCTGAACTAAATTTGCATATTTCACGCCCAAATGACACTGCACCGCAGCGCTGAGCTGTTATAAATGTTCCATGGCATTCGTTACAGTTTGTTGATGAGCACTGGCCGATCGGACATACCAAGATGATCTCACAGGCTCAACCTATCTGCCTGCTAGTGCTCTGGATCCAGGGTAAGAAACAAACAAAGGGGGCGCTGTATCCTTTAAGCTATAATGATCCACAGAAAAAAAATAAAAGATCTAGAAACATTGATTATTTATCAGTATACATTCCTCAGGTATTGACAGTAACTTCAGAAATGCTTGTCTCCTAATTGCAACTGAGGGAGAAAATGGGTTTGAGAAACACAGAAGCGATTGAAAACAATTTGGAATGAAAGAACCACCTCAAAGTTAAAGTTAGCATCATTTTCAGAATGAGGAACTTTCATAAGTATGGAAAGAGGCACATGGGCACATTTATAAAGACAAGATAGTGTGTATTTTAATGAACTATACTATTGATATATATTTTATATACATTAATGCTGAATGTACAGACTAGAGAAAGACTACACATGTACATACTAATGTATATTCTGTTTGCTAACTCAGACACCAATGCGCAGATTGTGCTGACTCAGACTCCAGAATCCCTGGCAGCGTCTCCTGGAGACACAGTCACTATCCGCTGCAAAGCCAGTTCAAGCCTCACTAGTGGTAGCTATCAAGTACTAGCCTGGTACCAACAGAAATCAGGACAAGCTCCTAAAATGCTTATCTATGATGCTACCTCCCGGCCATCTGGGGTTCCAACCCGGTTCAGCGGCAGTGGCTCTGGCACTGACTACACTCTCACAATCAGCAGAGTTGAAACTGAAGATGCTGGAGATTATTACTGTCAACAAGGCAAGAGCTTGCCTCTCACAGTGATACGGACCAATACAAAAACCTCCCCATCCTGTTCCTTTCAGTGGACAGCTGCTTCCTATGCCTACGTGCTACACTAGATTTCAGACAGCATTTTGATCAGTCTTGCAACACCAGACAGAGTCCGGTGCACCCACTGCTGACCTTTTTATAATACTGTTGTCTCTTTCCCAATACCAGTATCCCATTTCTGACACCAGTGTTGTCCCCCTGCCAAGCAGATGTCTGGCCCAGCTTCTCAGAGTAAGAGAAATCCACAATGCCGAGTGTAAGTATACTAAGCATAACTTGTTTTATTTACACATACACACCCGTCCTGGAACAGAGGTGGTAAAAACAGCATACAATCAACCCCCTCTTTCAGGAATCTCATCCCAACACCAATGCCCATATCCCAGAAAGTAAATCTCCCTCAAGAATTTAATCAGAGACTAAGACAGAGAACAACCTTTCCTGCTGCTCACAGAGATCCCTTTCCTCAGAACCATGCACAACCCAAACAAACAGTAACATAACATGCCTTCTGTAACCGTGCCTCGGTGGGTCACAACTGAGGATGTCAAATTCAGGACGAACTGCTGAGAAATAGGGCAAACACAACCCCAAACTAGTGGTTATTCTTTCATAAGATATACCAAACCAGCCACAAAAGTAAACTCCTGTTTCACCACACTGGCTAACAAGAAGTCATAAAAGCAGTTTCCTTGGGCATTCCAGTTCTTATATCACCACCAAAACCACTAGATTCAGAGAAGAGTGGTTCTTTGCAACCAGTCTCATCAAATGAAAGGTTCTTCTGATCCCAAAGGACCAGGCACACACCCAGGTCAATATATAACTTAGATCTTATGCAAAAATCACGCTGATGCCAATCCTTTAGTATCTAAAATCTAAAGGTTTATTCAGAAAAAGAAAGAAAGACAGGTGAGAGTTAAAATTGGCTAAAAGAAACAAATACATATAATAATTGCAAAGTTCTTGGTTCGGGCTTGTAGCAGTGATGGAATAAACTGCTGGCTTGATAAGTCTCTGGCTGCTTCCAAATCATTGGACCTCTGGCCCTTGGTTAGAATACTCCCATTAGTATAAATCCACAGTCCAGAGATTTGAGCAGGACAGAGGCAAATGGAGGGGTTTCCAGGGCCATTTATATCCTCTGCCACGTGTAGGGAAACCCATTGTTTCAAACAGAAACCTCAGCACAGGTGACCAGATAGTGTTTGGAATCACATGGGCAAGCCACATGTCCATGCCCAATTTCGAGTCATTGCAGGAAGCCATTACCTATATTCCAGCCAGCACGTTGCAGGACAGTCCATTCAGTGTAAATTGTCAGTTAAGTGTCCTTTTGATGGGCCACTCAATTTGAATAGTCCCTCCAAGATGTGCTGGCTAACTACTTCACGGGCATTACCCCTGGAGCAAACATTTGAAATCCAGGTACAAAGCCAATACTTATAGCTTCAAATATAAAATGATACATGCATACAGATAGCATAATCTTAACCAGCAAATCATAATCTTTTCATAGACGCCTCACTTGACAAGCTTTGTAGAAGATTTATTGCAAATATATAACAGTGGTTGCAACAATGATCTATATGGTCATATTTTAATCAGTAATGTCACACCTTCCCAAAACTGACCATATGCTCGCACATTAACAAAAACCGTGAAAGACTGTATAACAGCACCACCTGGAGACACAAAGACAATTGAGTATACAGTCCTGTCAGAAAGGTTTGCTGCTAGACTTGTTCAAGATAGAAGTTTTGGTGCGGGATTGATTTTTATCCCCCCGCAGCTAAATTGGGGCATTTGTTGCTGCATAAATGATTTTATTCCGTGATTCCCCAAAATAATTCTTACTTGCTGACTACCCTGAGCATTTCAGGATTAAAAGAGACACAGCCCTCCCAGTGCTGTCATGTGAAAAGACTGAACCAAGTTCCCGAACTCCAGAGCTAGCAGAGGCTAGGAGGGTTGAGGAGGCTTCAAGCTCACCTTCTGGAAGGAAGGAACAATTCATGTTACTCTCTAACAACCCACTCTTCTGGACACTTGGAACAACACAGACCGGAGCTAGTGGCTGCATCCAGCCTTCCTCTGACAGAGAGAAGATTGCAGCAGTATGGGGCCTTTGAGGGAGCAATTGGGCAGTTGTCAGGTTCACAAGTGGGCTCAGATGGGAGAAAGCACAACATATTTTCTCCTTTAGATGAGGGCACTTGATGTTTTTGGGGGGGTTGACGACACAGGTTGAGGTTGGAAGCTTTATTTGGTTTTACCCAACCTGGTACTGAGCACTGGAGATGCTGGTTGCTTGGCTGGAGTTTCCTTCCACTGAGCTCCACCCAACTGCACTGTCAGCATCCAGACCCCTGTAGAGAGGACTCAGGGGTTGAGGTTCTACAGGACAAAGGTACAGCCTGGGTAACCTACCAAAAGGCAGAGTTTATGAGACAGCAATGGACTCGAGGGGATGCTAAGGGCTGGGCTTGCTCAGGCGTATTCCCCTGCAATAGTAATCACACCAGGACAGCAGGTCACAGCAACACAAAGTAACTGCTGTTATGTACTGCAGATACAGCATGAATCCCTGATTAGAAACACAGGCACATACACAAGGTTGGAGCCAGCTGGCTGACTCGCTCTTGTATTGAGGGGGGAAAAAAAAACACGGTAACACCAATATAACAGATTCAACATAAATAACTGTCAATTCACATAAACAGATTCAACACTCTACTCAATACCTTCAAATAGATTACATCTATTGTCATCCCAAAATGAAATGGGTGCAACTCCTCAGAAGTACTTGTGGAGGGACCAAAAAAAAAAAAAAGGTCCATTTACAAGTCATGTCCTTTAGGTGGCTTGCGTTGTCCTTCTGGATAGTGTCCACCAACATTTGAACATTTCCTTGAAGAAGTGACATGTCTTCAGATGATGCTGGTTGTTCAGCACAGCTGCTTTCCAGTATAATGTTACTTGTTGTGGCTTCAAGCTGGGGAACCAACATTGGAGCAAGTGGCAGCTTCCCCAATTTTGCTTCTTTTGTTAGGCAATTGGTTGATGTGGTGGCACCCAAACATATTGGGTGACACTTGTACTGTATAAGACAAAGGACTCATTGGACAGACCCCACGTACTGGGTCCCCAGTAAATGCACAAACACTGTTTGACCCACTTGTAGCTGACAAGGTTTGATGATTTTGGACTTGTAGATGTAGGTCTGGCTTTAATAAATCAGAGTGTGACCTGAGATTTTGGCCCGTACACAGCATTCCAGATGTTTGGTTTATCATGGCAGGCACTGCATTTCCATATGCTAGCAAGAAGCATGCCAGTTTCTGCTGTAATGACCCCTTCTAACATGCCCTGGATCGCAGCGTTTGCTTAAAAGTTTGCACAAACCTTTCAGCCAAGCCATTGGTGGCTGGGTGGTATGGTGCTGAGGTGATATGTCTAATACACCTCTACCCCGATATAACACAAATTTGGATATAACGTGGTAAAGCAGTGCTCCGGGGGGGGGGGGGGGGGGGGGGGGGGGGTG